CCAAATCTGTGCTGCCACTCAAGTTTACCTGTCTGTCTCATATCCTAATGTTGAGAACGAGAATCCTGTTATCTGCTCACTCTATCTGAGTTGACTGTTGCAAAGCTTTAACGATACAACTGAAGGAGAAAGAATTTTGAATTTGACATGCAAATGAGGAATCCCTCTCAGAGTGAGAGCCTGCTTATAATCTTATGATCTCCCTAGGCTTACAGCCCTGTGACCTGGCAAGCAGACTGGGATGCAGAAACAGCATTTACTCAGGATTCTTCCCTTGCCAGGGAGTAGAGCTGCCTCTGATGACTGCACGGGAGCAAGCCCTATCCCAGCTTCCAACTCCGAGGTTGGCACCACCTCCGCTGTCAGCTTGGGTCTGCTTGTCTCGATGAGGCAGTCTATGAAAATAAAAGTCCCATCCCCGCTGCCAGAGGACTTCCAGCAACATCAGCACAGACAGCAAGCATCCAGGTAGACTGCAAGCAGCCCCGTGTGTTTTCACAAACATGCAGATCACGGGTCTCCAGCAGACCCAGGGCCACAAGCATCTATAGCCCGGAGGCACACGCGGGCCGAGTGAACTGCATGGAAGGTTTGGAACTGAGGACAGGACAAAGGGAAGATGATGGAAACAGAACAGATGAGCAGAGGAAAGGCAGGCACAGGTGGTGGGAATGGGGAAAGCCCCCAACCATCTGGACCCTCTTCCGCCCTAAGCAACTTCTCTCTGCAGGGTCTCAACTCTTCAGGAACCGTGACCCCTTTGAAGATCTTCTCTCTTAAAAAATACACGTGCACATGCATGCGTGCCCTTTTGCCCACAATCCCAGGAGCTCTTCCAGTTCCTCCAAGGAATCCTATCCTTCCTCCCTCACAATGGATCTGAAACTTCAGCCTTCTCATGGCACTGCCTTTCAGGGCAGCAGGGCTGAAGCAGAAAAGAGAAAAAAACTCAGCAAGCTGGGAGGAGGGAGGGGCACGTAGGAGGGAAGGAATAAACATAATGATGTTACTTTTGTTTTCTCACAATAATTTTTCCCCTTGAATCATTGCTTCAGAAATTTATCCAAGTAAAAAAGACAAAATCATCAGTGCCCCCAAGCTAGCTAGACAGTAGATAGACAAATAGATAGATGAGTAAATAAAAAAACCGTTCAAAACGCCGTGAGGGTGCTAGAAAATGAAAAACTTCTGCTCCCCACAGAAAATACCCTGTACTGGCAGTCTGGACTCTCTGTTTCCACACCCAGACCCTTATAATCAGCACAACTCAAACAAAATCTACTCAGTATCCGATTGCTCTTGGAAAATAACTCCAAACAGATACATTTCTCAAAAGGTGATGACCCTACACTTCTGTCTAGCCAGAACAGTTTGTCCGTCTTCCTCTCCTGGCTGCAACTTGTCTCCGTGCAGGAATTTTCCACCCCCACCCCCGACCCCCGCTAAATGTAATGTCATGCAGGAGACTCAAAGGGAAAGGTAAAAGGATTAGTAGATTGATCGATGGATGATATTAATGCTCTTTCATGTTGGGCTGAAGAAGGATTTGAGGTCATCAGGAGAGAGGGCAGGAGGAGAAAAGAACTCAAGTATTCAAAAGACTCTCTGGATTAAAATCCTATTAAACTCACATCAGCTTCTCCAGGAGGTGTTTTAGGAGGTTGCGGTTTCTTTAACATGTCACCGTAATTGACCTTCCCCTAAGCCGTTTTGGGTGGGGAACTTTAGCGATTAAGAAACTGGAAAATTTTCATTTTCTAGCACCCTCATGGCCTTTTGAACGGTTTAAAAACTAGTGGGGAAAGTGGGTTAGCCTAATTGATTTGAGGGGTTCAGAACTCCCACTTCAACCTGCTGTCAGGCTCACCCAAGATCTGAGCCCCTCAGGAGAAAGGGCATTTTGTTGAGGGAAAGAATCCAAAGGTTCAGATCTACAACAGTGCATTTCTTCTCCTAACTATTCTCCCATGGATTTCTACAGAACGAACAATTTGACAAAAGGGATGGTTTTTGGCCTAAGATGTTCTGTTTCTGGGTCCAGACTCCAGTTCACAAAAACGACCCCAGAAACCCAAAGAGCCCATCTGTCTCAGCAGGTGCAAGACTGTGTTGTTTCAGCATCACTGTGTCCAGAGCAGCCATTCTGTTCCGTGGATGTGAAGGTCAGGAAAGCGTGTCAGGGATGGGAAGCCAGGAGGGGTGGGGTGAGCAATCATCCAAAGAAATGAGAGTCCCAAAACACGTGTTGTTTTAAAGGCTTAGTCTGAGCGTTTTTACCTCCACTGGGTCAAATGTCAACCTATCTGTAAATATCAACGCCTTGCCATTCTGAGCCCCTTTTCTGCCTCTGATGAACCCCATGCTGATTATGAGGTACCCTTGTGTGGGGATGGTGGCTTCTTCACTTTCACACTTGCTGGGTCTTCAGAGTTAAAAGGTAGACAAGAGGCCACTTTCCACCAGCCGCATCTCCATTACAGCACCTGCCCCCCCTCTGTGCCCCTCCTCTGCCCCCTTCCGGCTGGGCTGTCTCCATGCCCTTGTCAGCTGTGAGCTCCTTAAGAACAGCAGTGCTGACGTCTTTCCCTCTAGCTCCAAGCATGTGCCTGGCACAGAGCAGCACTCGACACCTGCTTGCCCACAACTGCACAGAATTCACTCTGTGCCTTAAGGCAAGTCATGGCCTCCATTTTTTTCCCCAATGAAAAATGAAGGGGTCTGTTGGGCTACGTGACCTCTGAGGTCTTTTTCCGGTTCTCAGAATCTCTGAAGAAGTGGCTGTGTGCAGGCTGGCTTTTCTCGGCTCCTGTTTGTCATTAGAGTGATGATGATGGTGAGAACAGAGAACATGGAGTAGACCCTTAAACGTGCTCTGTGCTGTTGGCGATGCTACTTCAGTAATCCTGTGAGGCAGAGATTTTATTCCCCATGACACAGTGGGAGATTGTGAAGGTTAGTAATTTACCCAAAGTCACACCAAGTGTGCATCCTGGTTCCGGAGTCTGGGCTCCTAACTCTTCTTCCACATCCTCTTTCTGAGCTTCCGGTTCAGGCTGCCAGCCTTTCAGCTGATCACTATATATCATCCCTCCTCCTCAAGGGGCCTGGCTGCCTGTCAATTGCTTTGATTTCCTACCCCAGGGCTGCAGCTGGCCAGACTCCACCTGCTTTGAGCAGAGACAGAGCTTGCCCGGCTCCAGCAGGCCCTTCGCCCTGAGGGCCTATGGCTCCTGGTGGGAGCAGGTGGCCGGAAAAGCAAGAGAAGGCGGTCATCAGGGAAGCAGCTTACTCGGGAGGTGGAACAGGAAGGAAGGCAGAGAGGGCTCATGTGAGATGGATTCCGAGTGCCCCACCGTCCCACCCAGTGACCTGAGCCTATGTCTGCCCTTGGGAAGGGCAGAGCCCTGGCTAGGAAGGCCTTGGAGGTGTCTTTTAGTAAGTGCTTCGAAGGCCTGTGCATGGGTCTTGTCTCATTTTAAAGCATCTCTGCCTACTAACATTGCTATTTTCTGCTACAGAGCCTGAAATCCTCTTTTTCTGGCAAAAAGGAAAAAGAAACTTTTGATTTTACAATAGAAAAAAATGTCTGATTATTTAGGGAAAAAATAGTTCATCTCAGCAATAACACTTCAAAGTATTTACCCAAATGAGTTGAAAACTTATGTCCACACAAAAACCTGCACATGAATGTTTAACAATTTTAGTTTCAAATTCCCCAAATTTAGAAGTAACCAAGATGTCCTTGGTCGTAGGTGAATGGGTAAACAAAATGTGGTACATCTCTACAGTGGAACATTATTCAGTGATTTTAAAAAATGAGCTATTGAGTTATAAAAAGGCATACAGGGACCCTTGCTAAGTGAAAAAAAATTGTCTCAAAAGATGACGTATTCTGTGATTCCAACTGTGTCACATTCTGGAAAAGTCAAAATCGTGGACACGGTAAAAAGATGAGTGGTTGCCAGGGTAGGGAGTAAGGAGGGAGGGATGAACAGGTGGAGCAGTGAAACCATCCTGCGTGAGATGTAACATTATGCGTTTGTCAAAACCAACAGAACTAGACAATGCCAAGCATGATCCCTAATGCAAACTATGGACTTAGTTAATAATAATATAGTTAATGACCACCACATACAGTCATTTACCCAGCTGGGTATTGTTCTAAGCACCAACTATGCAAGATCTCATTTAATCCTCCTAAAAGCCTTATGAAAAACAGAGGGTATGGCCATTAAAGAGACCTGTCGGGGGTCTCAAAGCTAACAAGTGGAAGGAGGAGGATTTGAACTGAGTCTGTCCAACCCCAAGCCCATACTTGTAATTCCTACACTCCACTGCTCTCCGGGGCACATTAACGAGCAGCAATTTTAGTGCGTAGGTAAGGGGGCAGAACGAGTCTTGACGACTGCTCTGTTTAGTCATTTAGTCACAAGTATTTGCTGAGTGCTGTGTATTAAGCTAAACTCTGAGGATATTAACACAGGTAAGAGGCTCTCCCTGCCCGCAAGGTGCTCGTAATCTAGTTGAAGAGACAGAGAGAAGAGATGAGCAATGACTATGAAAGTCATAGGAACAAGGAGCCCGGGAGTCTCCAGCTCTAGAATCGGCATGTTGTGAGGACGTGGAGGGAGCCCCTTGCTGAAATGGAGAGAGCTGAAGACTTTTTCTTTAAATTGTATTTACATCGGAAGCACCCTGGCACCCTAATCGTATTACCTCCAGAGATTGGGAAATTGAGAGTGTAATAATCCAAGAATGAAAAATGTATAAAAACTGTAGCAACAGATAACAACTAATACAAGAAAGAGCTATCCTGAGGAAGGGGGGAAAGAACTAACATTTATTAAATGTCTAAATATGCAAGGCACTCTTCTAGGTCCCTGACCTACAACCTTTTGCTTAATCCCCCAAATGGTCTTCCAGGGTAGATGTTGTTCTTGCAATTAGTTTATGAAGAAAATGCACAGCCATTTGTGTTGCACAACTCCTTCGTCTCTTACCCGTGTCTTTCTTCTTATCCCGGGAAAGCTCATGCACCGTGGCGCCGATGTCGTGCCTCAGGATCTTGATGATGTTGGCCAGAGCTGGCACGCTGCGCTTGTCCAGATAGGTGAAAAATTCATACTCATCTTTCTTTAAACGTGAAGGTCTCGATTCAATGTGGGTCAGGTTTATATCATTCTCCTGGAAAAGAAAAGTGGCGGGTAGGAAGGCACCAGTCACTGGCATTGACACAGACCAAGCACATAAAACCAGAGCAAAACATACAACACAGCAAAATGCAGAGTGATGAGGAACAGGATTTCCTTATATATAAATATATACACTTTCATGTATACTTTCATGAAATGTACTTTCATGTTTCTAACCATCAGTTTCTCCATCTCGGTGAAACTGTAAGTCATTCGGTGGTACTAGTGGTACCTGCCTCATAAGTTTGTTGGATATGTTGGATAAAATGATACATACACACTGCCAGGTAAATGCTCAGTTAAAATACATAGTAAATGCTCAGTTAAAATTACCCAGTATAGTTACCATTCATATTTTTATATAATTACTTTTCATCCAAGTTAGGCATCAAATATATATGTAGCACCTACCAGGTACTGAGCACTCTTCTAAGTGGCTGGACTACATCAGTGAACAAAACAGACCAAGATATTTTCCTCTATTAAGTGTACATTCAAGATGTGGGGAGACAAATAATAAACATTAAAGAGAACTGATTTATGCATTATTTTATGCAGATGACTAGATAAAAACATTGTGGTACATTTACACAATGGAATACTACTCAGCCATAAAAAGAATAAAATAATGCCATCTACAGCAACATGAATGGACCTGGAAATTGTCATACTAAATGAAGTAAGCCAGAAAGAGTAAGAAAAATACCATATGATATCACTTACATGTTATCTAAAAAAAGCAAATGAACTTATTTACATGTATGTATATGTATGACTGAAACATTATGCTGTACACCAGAAATTGACACAACATTGTAAACCGACTACACTTCAATTTAAAAAAAAAGTGGCTGGAGAGAGAGGGCCATTTTCCCTAATGTCAGAGTTTTGGTCTTCTTACCACACAGCCTTTCCTGCCAGGGATACAGTGAGCATTCTGCAAATATCAGCGTTTACCATTATTACTACTATGCCAAACATAAAAAATGAAAACCTCTGCATAGAGTAAACACAAGAATATGCAGCCCCACACAGACACCCTTCCTGCTCTTTCTTCCTCATCATTCCCAAGAGCACAGGATGGAGCCCTTTTTTGTGGGGACCAGCTGCAGACAACACATTCCTGACCAGGTAACCCAGTGCGGACCCCCCCCACCCCCATACAAAGAGTACGTGGAGGAGGGAAGGCCAGAGAGACAGGGGTTCCTCTGAAGCTTTCTACACAGACCGAGATGACTTCCTAAACGATGCAAAGAGCAATGTCATCCTTCTTGGCTCTGGATGAAAGAAAATGGTTACACGCCACTGGCTATTTACCTAAGCTGAAACTTCAAAAGAAGAGACAACCAATCCCCGCCCTGTAGAGAGCAGAGAACACAGCCAAGCCGGGAACCAGCAGCGGACACACCTCCGGGGTGCTTACTTGCCAGAGAGCACAGGAGGGCAGGAGGGCGGTGGTGAAGGAGGTGGGAAGGGGTGTAGCTGGGGAAAAGGCTGGAAAGCCGACTATAGGCTGTTAGTGTTCCCCACCCACACCCCGTCCCTCACACCAGCACTTCCAGAGAGAAGCCATAAAACAGCGTGTGCCCCCGACTCAGGTTTTTGTAAATCTGGAGCCCTAACTTATGGGAAGCATTTTTACCAAAGTTTGTAAACTAACTACATTCCTCTAAGAGGGGACTGGTTAGGTGCACTGCAGTGTAATCACATGGTGGGGATTATGCAACCACTAAAAAGCAGGTAACAACAACACGCTTAAAATGAAGGGCCAGGAAGCCCTCCGAGATGTGGTGTAGGAGTGGTGGTCTCCAGACGATGAGTGATTTGATCTGTTTTCTTTCTTTTAATCATAGTTCAACTCTTCTAAAAACATTTATTACTTTTACAATGAAAATTTAACATTCTCTCTTGAATGGTTATAATGACAGCCACTTGGGAAAATACTTATGATGGATATAGGTATGGGATAATTAAAGTATCTTTTAAAAAATTATGCCCAGGCCAAGAAAAAAAAAGACTAGAATGAAATGCATCACAGTGAGTTATGACAAGATTATGTGTGACTTCTATTTATTTGCCAAAAGTCTTATATTACCCATATAATGAAAAGAAAAATACACCTTTTTAAATATGAGTGAAGTTTCTGACTAAGAACACCCAACCATATCCTTTAAGCTCTCTTTCCCATTTGAATCAATTTGTGAATAATTAACTCTCTAACCTGGCATGCAGTTTCCTAAGTGGAATTTTTCCAGCTCATTAGTGTGGATCCTTAGATAACAATAACTTTGGTTGCAAAGGGATCCTTTAGAAATAAACCTCCAAACCTGATTATGATTATCGTTACCTTTTTTGTAAGTGAATTTTTATCTTTAAACAAGGGTTCTCTGCAGTTTACACACGGATCCATACACACTCACCGCATCTTTGGGTGAGAAGTACAGAAAACTTTCTGTTACTCCACGTGGACATCTTGGCAGAGGCAGGAAAGGTTTAGAGCTAAACATTTCAAAGACAATTTCATGATTTGTCCAGTAGTTAATTTCTGCATAAAAGATGGCAGAGTCACAATGTGAGTACTCAGGACTCTTGAATGGAGAGTGTGGGGACCAGAGACAAGCAAAGTGAAATGAACAGTTTATTTTAATAAGGATTCATCAGAACCCCCTTTCTGCTCCCTTCTATGAGGAAAATCTTCCTAAAGGGGGATGCATCACAAGTGGATAAAATTATAGATACACAGAATGAGTGCAATGAATAGTGAAAAAATGGATTTGTGTGTCTGGAACTTCCCTTGACTTCCAGCTTAGGGCCCCTTCCTCTCCTCTGCCATCTCATTCCTGGAGGAAAAGAAGCATGACATCTGAAACGAGTGTGGGCTTCAGAACTAAACTGAGTTTAAATTCTGCTCTGCGACTCACTACATTTGGACACAATAGTTGGCCATTCTGAATTCTGCTTGTCTGTGTTTAAAATAAAAATAGTATTACCTAGTAGCTTAATGAAAATTGAAAAAAGAGGAAAAGCGCCTAGTACAACTGTGGCTTCATTCATAGATATTCAGTAAGGACCTGTTATACACTACCTATCTCAGCTTCGTATCAGTACACATTTTCCCAGGAATTGAAACACATTAAGTTTATGAGTCATTTTGTCAGTTGACATTTGCTTTTACCTTAAACTTTCATCAGCCTTTTTTTCTTTTTTTTCCCAGAGAGCACGTTTTTAAAAAGGAGACGGAAATGCTGAGCATACTTTCAGATGAGACTAGCCTGGAAAGGGAGAGCTTCTCGGAGCCCCATGTGCTGTTGCCTTGGAGGAAGTTCATGCCCTGGCCTGTTCCAGAGCTTTCTGGGGCAACATCAAAGACATTCACAAAGAAGATCCCACATCCTTGGTCTCAAGTTATCGGAGAGGAGCCTTTCAATAACTCATCTAATCCACCGTCCTTGTGCCAAACACTGTCCTAGGTGCTGGGCTGCAACAACGAACAGAGCTGGAAAAAAACCCGTCCTCTTGGAGATTACATTCTCGAAGGAGGAGACAAACAATATAATAGGTAAGTAGAATATAGTCTTCAGATGGAATGGAGAAAAATAAGCAGGAAAGTAAGACCAGCTCTTCCAGGGGTTCAATACAGGTGCTTTTTTAAACAGTGGGGTCAGGAAGTCCTCAAAAAGTAAACAGGCAACACGTAAGCAGAGACCTGAAGTCCGTGAGGAAGCAAGTCATGAGGGAACAGCAAGTGCAAGGCTCCTGGGGCCAGATATTGCACAACATGACCGGGGACCGTCAGTGAGGCTGGTGTGATGGGTGGGGGCTGGGGGAGGGGCAGCAATAGGACAGGAGGCACAGAAGTAACCAAGAATGACCTAGAGACCATTATCTCAACTTTGGTTTTCACTTGGGGTGATGCTGAAGAGCTATGAGCAGTAATAGGACAGAAAGAAACGTCCTTTGACTCATATTTTAAAAGAAGCACTCTGGCAGCTCTTTTAAGAATAGACTAGGGGGCAAAGGCAGACACAGTCTGGGGACTGCCACAGAACTGGGGGTGAGAAATGATGGTGACAATGACAGAGAAGTCTCACGGAGGTACAGGCAGGGTTTCCCATGTATCTTACTGATCTCTTGTGAGTGGGCTGGCAACAACCCTGGCTGACCAAGAGTCTGGAAACTAAACCTGCTGGGCTTAACAAGAAACCAAAAACATTCTGAAGTCTGAGCAGCACAGCCAAACTCTAGAGGGAGCTCAGTATTATCCCCCACTCCTCTCTGGAGGGGAGTTCTTGGGCAGGGTCAGGCTAGACTTTCAGTAGGATTCGCCCCCCGGGAGACCATCTTCTGGGATCGCACTCGTGCTTCCTCTAGCAGTGTCTTTGCTGTAACCTCTTGGCCTTTTCTTTCCTCATTCTTCTCCCTCGTTGTTAGATTGTTTCTTCCCCATTCTCCTTTCTGTGTGTTTGGGAATGTACCCAACTCAGAGGAGACCCCTTCCTGGGGAGAGCTGAGGTAGCGGCTCAATCCAAGGTTTTTTCAAGGCTTTAGAGAAAAGAGCTTTCTTGTTCCAGGTTCCCCTTTCTACATCTTTTCTTGCCACCAAAGATAAGATCAAAAAGGCCCAGTGGCCTGTTTCAGTCCAAGCTACCAATGAGCATGCACAAGTCATATGCCACCAGTGGACCATAGCACTCTGTCTACACTTTCCCAACTTCATGATGGACATTAAAAAGGAAGCACTGTGTTGCTGTTTCTCAAATATGCCCAGCTCTGAATAGGCTGGCAGCCTAAAAACAGTGCCAGTTTTCCATGTGAGTTTCTTCTATTCAATAACTAGATTATGAAACCTACACAAAATGTTTAGTGCAGCACCATTTGCATGGACAAACAATGGAAGCAACCTAAATATCCACCAACTAGAGATAAAGTATCATCAAGAGGGAAGCTAGAGGGAAATGTATAAGCAAGAGTATATGCACAAATCTGAAAACAAAGTTCACCACCTTCTCTCCAAAAAGAAAACTGCAGACAGACAGCTACGATATGATTCCAATTTTATGAAAAGTAAAAGCTTGCAAAACCATGCCATATATCCTAATGGATATCTATGTATAACAGAGTCTTAAAAGATGCAAAGGAATAGTATAAATTAAATTCAGATTAATAGTTACCTCTGAGGAGGGAGATGCATATTGGGAAGGGATACCCAGGGACTGGAGTCATTTCTATGATTTATTTCTTAAGCAGGGAATGAGTTACATGGACATTCTTTATATCACTATCTATATTAGGGGGTTTAAATAAGATGAAAAAGTCATGTGGGTTGTAACAACTTTCCTCTGCCCCAGTGGAACTCAATGCTCTTCTTATTTTGATTAAAGATGCAATGTTCCCTGTAAACATTTTACTGCCATGACTGCTCTGGACGGAAGGCCAAAGGGGCAAAAGCAACCCTTGTGATGCCCTCTTGATCTTGTCCTGCTCACCAGGCCCAGGGGTCACAGGCAGGACTTTAAAGTCCAAACTTGAAGTAATAAACATCTTATATGTGCCCGAATGTTCCCGTCTGCAACCCCGCCTCTGTCCCCAGAAACGCTGAGGTAGGTAGATGGTAAAGGATTTGGGGATTCCGTGACCTGACTGCTTGTTTATGCTCTCACCTCAAGTCATTTGTTTCTTATTCTGGAATTTCCTTCCCCCTTTCTCTCACCCGGCCAACCCTTTAGATTTCAGCTTAAACATGGTGTCTGCAAGAAACTTCCCCTGGCCACCTTTGCCCCAAGCCTGGGTTAAGAATGCTCGTGGCACCTTGAACTCCTCCCAGTTCTCTAGGGGCGGAGAGTAAACTGCCCGGTTCCCCCAGTCTCCTCAGCACCTGTACAGGCTCTGACAACAGCTGATGCATAAAGGACGTTAACTGAATGTGTCACTGAGAAAGTATGAGCTCACTGCCTATCTGATGAGGGGAAGGCGGGGGTCATCTGGGCAGAGGTCAGACATAGGAAGCGAATGTTACAAAGATAGTCTGTATTTGTCACATCTGGGCTATAAACAATAGGCTATATAGATTTGTTTCCAAAAGACCAGTCTCCTGTGGAAATGAGCTCAGAAGCAACGTTTAACTCTAAGTGTCTAGCCTGGAGCAGCTTGCTTAGTCTCAACCTATGCGTCTCCATAAATTAAATGACGATAACTGAGCATACCCAGGTACTTCAGAGCTCTGTCTATCTGCCTGTTTGCTGTTCCCCTCCCTGGGGAATGCGAAGTGAAATGATTAGTGGAGTGCTGGCAGAGGAAGGGAAACCTCTTCTTTACAACTTCCTCCAGGAACTTGCTGCTAATTTTATGGCCCATTACTAAGCCACTTACAGTAAAGACTCTCAGGAGACTACTTTCCTAAGAAGGCATGGGACGTGAGCTAGTGGAGGCTAAAAACACAGAGAGCTATGGAGAATCGAGAGAACCTTCTACTGAGGACACTGGGGCGTTTGCGGGTTAGCAAGTAGAGGTTTTGGTATATTCTGAATAGTCTGGCTCCAGCTCAATAAAACATCTGCTTCATTACACCTACCAACCAACCAATATGTGTAAACCCCATATCTCTGTATCTCTATTATAAAAATCAAGCTGCTTGTGTTGCGTTCTGATGTTGTTACTAGTGGAAGTCTGAGACCACAAACTCACTGGCAGGCAACGTCATCCCTTAACGGGATGATGACTGGTGTTAACCATCTGAGGAAGAGACAGCCGTGCTCGTTAAGCATAGAGGTGACTGTCATAGTACTTAGCAAGGGACTCACAGGGAGCAGGTGATTCTCCCGTGTGGACTGTTTCTCCCTCCATTGCCAACACTGGAGGAGCTAGAATAGATTTTTATCTTTTGTCTTTATCAAGGAAAGGTAAGTTTATTTAAACCATAATTTTCACTTTGATTCTGCCCTGATTTTACTAGCTGTTTTGGAAGTAGTAATACTTGACTTTAGTGCCTTCCAGCATCCTTCTTCCGTGGGGATGTTGCCTTCAAGTGATTTGTAATATGCTTCCTATACTTTCTACATTTTGCCCTTTTGCCTCTGAAGTAATAATAAAAAAAAGCAGTATTCTTCCATGATGGCCCTTCCAATATCTGAATGAAATAATTGTTTCCTCGCCCCATCTTCCCTCTTCACGCCAAATAATCTTAATCCTTTAACCATTTTTAATAGTTAAGAATTTAAGAGTCCCCAATGCTCTGTGACCCAGAAAATATGGTGCATAGAAATAATAAAAGCAACCATTTACTGAGCTCTTACTATATGCCAGATAGTATTGTAAGTACTTGTGTGTGTTATTTCATTTTAATTTTCACAGCAGCCCTATAAAACAAGCTTATTATTGCCTCCATTTTAAAATTAAGGAAACTAAGCTACCAAGAGGTTAAATAACTTTCCTAAGGTGATCCAGCTAATAGGTGATACAACTGGGTTTTCAACCCAAACAGTTTGGTTCCAGACAGTGCTATTCTACTCCTCAGGGCCCCAAACGTAGGTTAGCCTAGCGCTCATAACTTTAAAGCAGCATAAATTCGATGGAACACTAGTGCCTGCAAAATGTTAATGGGTCATGGCCAAATATGCCTGGGAAATGCTGAGGAAGATAACGTAGACTAAGTTTCCTCTCTGCAGGGCTTCCCATAGTCTTTAATATGTCTGGATGCATGATGGCTCTCCAAAATCTAAATGTAGGCTTTTCCAGCCATATTTACTCTTGGAACTCTCTTCTAATAAAACATCTACTAACCTGTGGCATTTGATAAAATACTGTTTAGAAAAGACTGCTGTTGACTGAAGAAAATGTACAACCTAAAAGTTGTGAGTTATGTTTTATTTGGCAGACTTTCTGAGGACTTCAAGCCCAGGAGACAGCTCTAATGGACTGCTCCAAAGAGGTAAGGGAGAAACCAGGATATATAGGAGTTTTTGCAACAAAGACCATGTAGTCAGAACATCAGAAGATGACTGTTAATTAAAGAAAACCAGATATCTCAAGTTAAGGAATTTAGTGCTTTTCTTTTATTTTTAAGTTTTTTTTTTAGTTTTAGTTCTTTTTCTTTTCTTTTTTCTTTTTTTTTTTTTTTTGAGGGGGGAGAGGTAATTAGGTTTTATTTATTTTATTTATTTTTAGAGGAGGTACTGGGGATTGAACCCAGAACCTCCTGCATGTTTAGCATGTGCTCTGCCACTTGAGCTATACCCTCCCCTCTAGTGCTTTTCTATGTATGGGAAGATCCAAGAGTCTGGGCTCACTGAAATCATTCCTTTGATATGCAACTTAACTGTCTAGGGCCAGTGTCCTGTGCTTTCCATCCTGAGTCTCCTGGGTGCCCCGCTGAGGTGGCTGCAGTGGCTGATGGCTTGATGGCCCAGCATCCTGTTTCCATCCTGATTTCCCACAGGGCTCACCACAGAAGTGACTGCAATGTGATGGCTTGATGGCTGCAACATCCTTTGTTTACCAAGGTGGCAGGTAATATTTTTCATTCACACTGCCCTAAAGTGTAGTTTAGATTCTTCCTTTTTCTTTCTTTTTTTTTTTTTTGCCATTTATTACCTTTGATTTCATTTTAAATGGTCCAGAAGTTTATCATCGACTACACAATTTAAAGGTTTTGTCTGTATTTTCATCTAACATTACTTCTCCACCTTGTTCATAAAGATATCATGAGAGATGTTAAGTACACAAACACACTGGAGCCACCAGAACCCCTGGTTCTACCAAGCTGCTCTGCTTTTCTGTAATGGTCCCACCCTGACGCTTGGTCATTGCCATTTACTGTAAATGTTCACAAAATATACTGAGTAATAATTCTAAAGATTTTACTTTTTTGGAAAAAAATATTTTAAAAATCAAGGCTCTTGACTCTCTCTAGCCTTCTGACATCTTTCTCCTCTTCACATGTTCTCAAAGATTTCTGATAGGTTTCACAGACCACATGTGGAAGGGGTACAGGAACAGACATTGTAGGAGCATCTTCTGTGAGCTCAGAGTCATACCAGGCATTTTACAGAGCACATCAGATCTCACCGCCCCAGGGAGGTATGGGTCATTAGCCCCACTTTATAGATGAGTAAACAAAGGCATACACATGTTAAACAACCTGTAAAAGTCAATGAGCTCTGGGATTCAACCCCCACTCCCATCACCCCCAGCATACAGCTTGTGTGCCTCGGGTGTATTTCATCCAGCCCTAGTAATTTAGTTACTCCTGGCTTTTTATTAGGTTGAAAATATCCTGTTAATTTACTAGTATTTAATTTATTAACTCTAAGGCCTGACCTCTCTAGAGGAAAACGCTGATGAACTGTATAATAACAAAGGCTAAAATGGGACACAGGCGCATTTTACAGACAATTTCTTTCTTGTGAACAGTTTGTCATTCAGAAAGCACTTTGTCCCTCGTTTCAACACTCATTTCTTCCTCTCACTCAGGCAGACATTTTCTTCCTCCCCTTGGATAGCCAGGTTTAATTTTTTTTTAATCGTCTTGATTGTTTAGATCAATTCTAGATTTATGTGAAGTTTTCTGAGGGGCTAGCACAGAGAATTCCTGTATACTCTGCACCCAGTTTCCCCTAATATTCATACCTTGTATGGTGTGGAACGTGTGTTACGATGAATGAACCAACGTTCATGCATTATCGCAAACTGAAGACCATACTTTATTTGAATTTCTTTACTTTATATCTAATGTCCTTTTTGCTGCTCCACAGTACTACTCAGGACACAACAGTATACTTAGTTGTCATATCCCATTAGGCTGCTGTTGACTGTGACAATGTCTCAGAGATGTCTTGTTTTTGATGACCTTGATAGTTTGAAGAGTACCGGTCAGGTATTTTATATACTGTCCCTTAACTGGCATTTGTCTGATGTTTCTCGCATGGTTAGACTGGGGTTACAGGTTTTGGGGAGGAAGACCACAGAGGTGGAGGGCCATTTCATCAAGTCACTCTGCATGGCCCACACCTAAGCTGTGAGGAGTTACGCTCTCCTTTGACTACTGCGTACCTACTTGAATTACTTGGCATTCTTCTGCTTGGAGGGTTGTCTCTTCTCCATCTATTTATGTATTCAGACACCAGATAGAATTTTATTAAAACATTACTGAGTGGAAATTCATTAGTTCAAAATATTCCTTCTGAAAATCCAGGGCAAAAGAGTTTTTTAAAAGTCTAACTTCCTTTGCTCACATTCAACTTTAATTTCGTTCTTCATCAAACACTTCATACACGTAAAACTGGGTCTGTAGAGGGTATAAAGATGACTCAGACAAGGTTCTCTGTCTACAGAAACTATCCTCAGGGCCAGACCGGAATGTATACAATTACCAAGGCAGTATGTGCTGCAGTTAAACTTAAAAAAAGTACTTTGGGAACACTGAGAAGACAGAACAGCGGTGCTTCGGGGTCTGCTGAGGATTGGTTCCAGGACCCCATGGATACCCAAATCTGCAGATGCTCAAGACCTTTATATAAAACGGCGGTGGTAGTCCAATGACGACCGTTAGCCCTCCCCATCAGCGAGCACCACATCCTCAGATTCAGCCAGCCCCGGATGGACAATTTGGTTGAATCCGCGGGACGTGGGACTAGCAGATGTGGAGGTCTGACGGTAATTAACTCAAGGAAAGTTTGATAAAAGCAGTGTGAGTCCAGGACTGGCTCCCTGGGTGTGCAACCAGTGATTCTCAGTGATCCTAATTATGAAATGGAGAAACTTTAGTTAGAATGAAAGACTTAACTAAGACTTAACTAACCATACAGTTAGTTAATGTAAGAGCTTAAGCTGAAAATCAAGTCTTCCAATTCCAGACCCTATGTTCTTTCACTGCATTCAGCCAGAAGATAACATGGGAGTCTGCTATGCCATTATTCAAGGCAGAAATGAATAAAGCACTTACCTCAAATAAACGCAAGACTTTGGCCAGGGCACCAACTTCTTCTTTGAGTGAGAAGATCAGTGAAATGGTACCATTTTGATTGGTGTTGTCTTCAATATAGCTTGTTTCCTACAGGATTAAATGCACTTGGGTAAAATGTTTTTCACAGCTTAGCAATTTATTCCTGTTGAAACCTCCAAGGAAGAGGCAAGCCTGAACTCTCTCTTCTAGGTACGCTTTGGAATACAATGAGCCACATATATTACATACAGAAGTATACGTGTGGTAGAGAATAAGTAAATCAAGAGAAGTTCAATGCTCAGTGATGCTTCTGGATCTGATTTCAGTTTCAATTTTAGAAAGATCCAATTATTCACTGATGTCACCAGTCACACTATAGAGTCACGGCCTTTTAATGAGCACCTACAAAGTGCCCAGTACAATTAGGGCTCTGAGAGAAACAAAGATGAGTAAGAGGATGCCCCATTCTCCAGGAGCTCAAATTTTGGCTTAATAGGCACATACACAACCAATGAGATAACTAGAAAAAGATCTTAGAGGTGGTATGATATGGTTCAAAAATTATCCCAGGAAAGCAGTGAGAAATACAGGGTAGAAAGTACTACAAATAGAACACACACAGGCTTTTGAATCCAAAGACAAGGGTTGGAACCCTCTCTCTTGCATTTACCAGCCAGAGCACCCTGAGCAAAAAGCTTAGCCTTCTTAGCTTCCTCATCTGTAAAGTCAGGCTAACGTGTAATCACACCAATCCCTGTCAAAACAGTATTCAGATGATGAAAGAAAGAAACAGATACAGTAGTTTAAATATAACATTAAGGGAAGGAGATAAAAATGATGGAAATGTTAAAAATACACAAGAATGACTTCTTGGCGGTTGGCAAGGATCTCAGGGGAGCATTAACTTGTTCTCATATGCTGGTATCTGAGATACCAATTGTTAGAAAAAGGTCATGAACTACATGAGAACACACAAGAAAACCACTGGGAATGGATGTCTTAAAATAGCAAAGAATGTCAAGGATAGCACTCTTCACATGCACAAGACAGCAAATGGAGGTGGGGTTAGGGTTTGCATTCCAAAAAGGGTTTGCCAAAAGCTTTTCAAAATGTCAAGTTAAGTGTTAAGTTGAGTTTTCAAATAATACATAAAGTTCCATGTGTACTTACAATAAACAGCATGTACCTAAAACTGGGAAGAAAAACCCATGGAGAACAATTACTCTCTTGTAAGCAAGTTAATGAAATTAGTGGAATAGCTGTTACATCATCTGAATGAGAAGGCTGTGTTAGGCAGGCTCTCAGTGACTGGGCATAATAAGCCCTGTATGAACACTGATGACCCTTAGGACAAAATGCTGTTACTTCAGAAAATTCAGATTTTCCCAGAATCTCACCTGAAACAGGTGCAGGGGAAGAACCAGAATTATCAGCAAGCGTGATCAGAGGAAGCCTCAAATGATCAGAAGACTGAACGACTATATAACCCTTATGGACCTTCATGTTATCTTTCTAAACAAAAATTTTAACTTACCATATATTAAAAGCCCCTATAATGTCCCAGGCATTATAATAAGCACTTGACTTGGATTATCTCATTTAAGTTTGATAATAATCTAGAAAGTAGGGTTTTTTTTTAATTTCCCAAGTGCCCCCTTGTATTGATGACAAAATTAAGGCTTTGAGAAGTTAAGTAAGTTGTCCATAGTTGCACAGTTAGCAGTGGAACCCATGCCATTGGGTCACAGCGTGCTGTCTCTGAATCACAACTTCTTGCAGACCTTACTCCACATCTCCTCTCTATTAAATCCTGCCAGGGACATGCAGATCAGTCTCTGACATCAGTCTTCTTCCTAGGAGAGAACACTGAGCCCTGAGTTCTTTCCAGTTTCCTTGAAATGACAAAAACTTTCCATTTCTAGTTCCCTTGGCAACACTCCCTTCTCCTGTTGGCCTGATACACCTCAACAGGTGTCACCTGTGACTGAGGCAATTCCGACTTGAGTGCCCGGTGCTCTAAACTCTGTCTGCCTCCAGCTTCCCACTGCTGTGTGTGTCCAGCCAGTCACCGAGGCCAGTCTGACCTTCTCCAGAAATGACTCCTGGGGTCAGGCCATTCTTTGGTTCCCGCTGCCACCACAGTAATCCAGGTCTTGTGATCTGTGTCGATTGGGCCTCCTAAGAACTTTGCTCATGTCCTTCTCAGAATTCTTCAGAGGCTCCCCCATGGCCAGCAGAATAAAATACTTCTTTTCTGATTTTCAAAAGTCTCCTTGGTACCCCATCTTCTCAGGCTCACCCACAGGAACCTCCCTCCAGAAAACTGGTTTCCTCCTTGCCCTTCAACTCCTCCTTAGAGTAAATGCACTGCTCCCCTTCCTCTCCCCCTTTCAGACACATCACCCTTCCTCAAAAGCCCTCTTGAGTTCCACTTCCCTGAGAAGACCTCAGCACTCCTCAGCCAGCGTGAACAATCCATCCTTGATCTACGCATTCCATTTGGTTTCTGATGCCCACATCGACTCACAGAGATGGACTTGTCTCAAGAGTTCATCTAGTGCCACACTCTCATGGTTCAGATGGGGAAACCACAGGCCAAAGAAAGTGACTCACCGGAGATCACACAGGCAGTGCGCGGCAGGTTAAGAACTTGGGCTCCTGAATGTCATTCACTCTGCACACAATGTCCATACTGAAGGCTCTTGTTTCTTGCAAAGTAAGAGCTGTGCTCTGGTCCAACCACCAGACGGTTACTCGGCACCACTTCCAACAGCCTGCGTCTCATTCCATGCCTGCTTCCCTTTCACTTTCTCCATTCTCCCCGCATACTTTCCAGATCAGGGTTTCTCAGTAAGCGTTCCTTGGGTCTCCACTCCAAAATTACCTGGTGAGTCCTTCTTTGAATGCAGATTCCTGGGCCCTGCTCAAACCTATCAAA